AGCCCTCTCTGGATGCCTGACACAATCCCCTCATAGATGCCCTCATCTTCCTCTCCAATGATGGGAAGGGGTACAGGCAAGGAACCCACGCTGGTGCACGCAGAGGCCACAAACTTATCCCCTAGGACTTCTGGTGCCTTTTTAGGGTCTGAGAAGCCCCTTCTCATTTTTCTCAACTCTGCAAACTTGCTTTGAGTTGTCGTTCTGGGATCCTGAAGAGGCTCTGCATGGTAAGGCTGGGCTGCAGCCGAGGCCGCACCCGCGTGAGTGGAAGGTGATTCGGCAAGTGCAGTCGCTGGGGGCAGTGGGAGGAGGACAGTAGGTTCCTCCTTAATTTCCAGAATGGCGTCCTCTAGGATGGTTGGTTTGGCTTGGTCAGCAGACAAGGTTAAAGCACCAAGCTTCTCCAATTCACCCAAGAAGTTGTCCAGGAAAGGAGGTGGTGTTGGGGCCAAAGGGTTTGCTGGTGGACATGAGGCTGTCAGGGACAACCAGCCCTGGCCAGTTCTCTGAAGAGCTCCTTTATCTGAGCCAGGTGAGGCTTTGCGGGTGGGAGGAGGGGCTGGTTCACTGGAAGCCAGCTTGGAAATGAGCACGGATTATGAAGTTAAGAAAAAATAAACGAAGAAAATAATAATAATGCATCAAAACATCGAGATGGAGAAATGCAGAAAAGATGTGGTGGTGAATATGAAAATAATTTTATGTTTAACATAGATTTGAAGACATTTAGAAGATATCTAGATTTGAAGATATTTTGCTGAAATTTAAATACATAAAATCATTTATGTTAATTAGAAAAGTTACTTCATAAATGAAACTCTACTAGTTTTGGAAGGGGTCTTAAATGTCAAACAAGATAAAGATGATATAGAGATTGCCAGGACAGTAAAACCTTAGAGATTTATTTTTATTTTTATTTTATTTTAAAAAAATTTTAAAAAAATTTTTTTGAGATGGAGTCTCACTGTGGCACCCAGGCTGGAATGCAGTGGCACGATTTTGGCTCACTGCAACCTCCACCTCCTGGGTTCAAGCGATTTTCCTGCCTCATCCTCCCGAGTAGCTGGGACTACAGGCGCACGTCACCATGCCCGGCTGATTGTTTGTATTTCTAGTAGAGATGGTGTTTCACCATGTTGACAAGGCTGGTCTCGAACTCCTGACCTCATGATCCACCCGCCTCGGCTTCCCAAAGTGCTGGGGTTACAGGCGTGAGCTACCGCGCCTGGCCCTTAAGAGATTTAATAGTTTATTTACTTTAAACTATGTTGAAAAGATATTACAGGTTTCCAGATATTGATTTAGTAGTATAAATGACTCCAAAGAAATGTTAATGTAGAATGAAAACTAATAGTTCAGTCTTTTTATTTCCTGAATGTGTGTAGTGTTCTCTTTTCCTACAGTATAGCCCAATCTTTTAAACTTTGACAATTTTCTCACTTATGTTTGCAAGGTGATATGTTAACAAATTTCTAAGTGAGTAAGTTCTGAAAAGTATGTTTCAAAGACAGGAACCCATGATCAGAATGAAACTGAGCTTGCATAGCTACAGCTTCAAAGTTTGAAAAAATCCAAAGTAAATGTTTACATAGAAAGAGCTCATCTGATGCTGATGGGAGAGAGAACTTCTGGTTAAGCTCCCGTTCTCTTTCAAAGCTTGACATTTATGTAAATCGGAGGAGATACAATTTATGAAGCTTAATCTCCTGAAGTAAAAATATACTTCTATATATGTAGTATTACTGATGTATTTTGGATATGGTAAATGAAACAATAAATTTGAAATTTTATGCAAAGTGATTAAAAGTAGTTCTAATAAATATATACACCCCATATGTACTCATAAAAATCAGAAATTAAAAAGTGTAGTTCTAGAGGTGCCATTGACTAACATCGGAATACATTTATCTGCTCTTGCTGGACTACAGAAAATGCTACCTGCTGTACCTGCTGCACCTGCTGTGCCTGCTGCACCTGCTATGTGCATAAAGCCCTTGAGAAGGCTTTCACTTTAGGTCTCTCCAGGTAGATGCCTTTGATTTGGAAAGAAAAAAATGTCCAAAAAGATTCTGGAGATACATTTTCCAGCTGATAGTTTAGGATAACACTTTACATAGGGAGCCAGCCCTTTTGCTCCTGGGGCCTTAGTGTGCGTAAGTGGGTGATGCATTTCTCACTTAACTTTCGACTCCTGTGTCCTATAATAAGAATGGGGTATTAGTTAGATTTATTTAGCTTTTTTTTTTTTTAAAGTCATCTTATCATGGGATGACATAAAGGTCACAAAACTCATGTGAGCATCTTAAAACAGGATTCAGGACCCAGGCTCTGAGCTGCTGACTCACAGACTGCACGTGTGGTTTGTGCCTGGGTAGAGAGCCACTCCTCTTAAGTCCTGTAGATGTTGAGTTTTCAATGAGATATAAACAACTCAAGTCTTATTAAACAGTCTACAGAAGTTCCTTTACTGGCTAGAGTTCTAGTTTATACCCTTTGTTACATAACACGAAAGTTTTCAGTAGTTAGGTTTGTAAAGTCGGTGAAATATATAATAATTTCAGATCGTCAAGTTTCCACTTTCACTTTCTATGATGCCAGGAATATTATGTGGATGAGAAGGAAGGATCTTAAATTCCCTTGTCGTTACTGCCACCATCACCACAGCTATCTGATGCTGCGAATACTCTAGTGTCATCACCACCACAGTCACCAAAATACATGTTAGCAGGTTAAACTGCTTAACTTTACAACAGACTCGCTCTTACCAAAAGCCAAATTAGGCATCCTGGTATAACTATATCACAAAACTATACCTATAATACAAAAACCACACAACTATTTTGTTTTCCAAAAGCATTAGAATTGGATTCTAATGCACTAAAAGCAGAAATATCAGAAAGAAAATCAACTTACATTTTAGTCTCCCTTAAGACAAAGACAGTACGTCAAGAAATGTGATTTAAATGTGTCACCAGAGTGGTTCATAAATTATTAATGAGTTCTCTGTTTGTAAATATCAGTTAGAAAATAGGTTCTGTAGCATTATGTATATTTTGGATGTCATCATTTAGAAATACATTATATTTATCTTTCTAAAAATGATTGTCACTGCTGGGAAATTTTCTTCATTAAGCCTGTGACATCACAGCATGGATTACCAGTTGGGATAAAACCATTAAGTATTTCTTTCAAATTATGGATGTAAGCGTCTCAACATATTTTTTTCCCAGCAGTGAGCCACAAAAAACTAGTTATTAGTGAAATTTGTACATGCCTTATGTTTAAAATTTGGTATTATTTTAAAAACTTGAAAATACATTCAACTACAGTTAAATCGTATTCACATCAAAGATGAAAACATTGGGATCAAAAATATTATATTGCCATTGCTAATTAGGACATATGGAAGAATTTGTTAGATGTTTAACGAGCTTATGCAGATACATGATTTTCTTCCTTACAACATTTTATTTGAAGGTACAGTTGCTTTGAAATTTCTGTGATAGTTCTTTAAAGATGACTGAACGGTGCATAAGACAAATATATGCATGAAGATTCTCATCTTTTGTCGTTATCAGTAGAAAATACTGAAGAAAGCATGCTGATCTATAAATGCTAAGCTCTGGTAATGAAGTGAATATTCTTAAGAAGATTCTGGAAAACTTTATAATCAAGCAAACAAAATTGGATAGTACCAAACTGTTCCATATATCCATGAATACAGGGTTGAGGGTAATTATTTGCTACTGAAACTCAGTTTTCAAAGAGGATCACAATAAATACAATGCCCAGACTTAGCCCTTCTAAAGGAAAATGACTCTCCTGAGATAGCAGATTCTTAGATCATTTCCTCACATAAAATCCTTCTCAGGCTCATTTTCAAGGAGTAGTTTAGGTCACTGGGATGCAATCTTGAAATAGTCTTTTCACTGGAGCATGAAGTGACTTCACATTTTACTAACGTCTGAGAAGCTGATTTTATTTTACCAGCTCTAGATGGTTTGGTTTTTCACATCCCAGCCTTGATCTCAATTAAAATAATTAATAAATTATGCAACTTAATACATTTTTTGAATGTTGGGAAGTACTTAAAACATTTTGGAAGTAATTGGCAATTTAAAGTTTTATTCTTAGAGGTTAACGAGAAAAAAAAATCCCAAATGTCATACATAAAAAGAATATAATTCAGCAGAAAAATTGGAAAAAATTTCACATTGTGAGTGAAATAGCCTTTTTACATTCACCAATTAAGGAAGCGAAGTCTCTTTTAAATTGCATATTGAGAAAGATAATCATCTTTAGCCCGCTCAAGTGAAACAGTAGACCTGGCCTGTAACTGTCCTAAAACTGATAAAACAAACCTGAGGACTTACAGTAACCTACAACATTTTCATTTAAACTAATAAACAAATTGACTTATAGATTCTAATTAAAAATTTTTGCTCTAGCTCACTTTCCATATAAAAAGCTTGTACAGATTTGTCAACCTAATAACCAGGTGTTCTCGTGATATGCCATTTTGAGATATACATAGTATTTTGTGTTGTATATATTTATATTTCAAATTATAAATCATAATTGTATATATGTGTGTATATAATTGTATTTATACATAAAGATCATATTATATACATACAACTTACATATCTAAAAATGAAACTTTAGAAAAAAATTATTTCAGAAAACATTTATGTACACAGGAATACGGATATATATCATAGAAGACTTTATGATATTATTGTTTTCTCTTTCTCTTTTGATATTTTAACTTGAAAATGAAATGAGCAAAATTAATCATTAAATCTTTATGCCAGTACCTATTTGAGAAAAACTGAATTATATTTACAGACGCGGCACTCACACATGTAGAGACATAGTATGTAAATCTCTTTCTCTGCAATAGATGTGATATTCTAATCAAATATCCTAAAATCACATACCGATTATCTTACTCGGAGCTCCCAATATTACATGAACGTGATAGAGTATGTTCTTACCTTATTTGAGCTCAAGCTGTGAATCCTATCACTAGAATAGCTGTGGGGTATTGGAGGGTCGGGGTAATCCTCAGCACCTTTTGTGTTCTTCTTGACGACCTCCACATAGGAAACAGGGAAGATGCCTTGTCTGTTGGTTCCTGGGATTTTGCCTTCATACCAGTTTTGATCAACTCTTTTAAGAAGAATAACTCTATCTCCCTGTGATGAATACGAGAAAAATGCATTAGAAACAGAGATAGAATAACATGAAAATATAATTGTCAATGTTTTCTATGAAACAATAGGTTTCCATTTGGGAAGGTACTGGTGCTTACTAGAAAAATACGCATTCTCAACATATATGTAAATAAATTGTCCATTCAGGACATTAGAATCTTCCCTAAGGATGCCTGGTTAATGTGAATGGGTTTATACTTGTTCACGCTGGTACTGTGTGAAATGATTTGTCTAAGTTATTTCAAAAAGCAGAAGAGTGTAAAAGGCAATGTCTCAATGACAATAGGGTTATTTCATCTCTGGCAGATTCGGTGCATTGGCCTTCTGTAGGAAGAGCTTCAGAAAGTGCACCACAGCTCGCTGTGAGACTGTGTGTGTCTGAAGTGGTTACAGAAAACACCTCGAGAAGGGAGAATATCGGATGGCACATCATTTTCTTTTTTTATTTTTTTTATTTTTATTTTTTTTGAGAGGGAGTCTCACTCTGTCACCCAGGCTGGAGTGCAGTGGCATGATCATGGCTCACTGCAACCTCCACCTCCTGGGTTCAAGCAATTCTCTTGCCTCAGCCTACTGAGTAGCTGGGATTACAGGCGCCTGCCACCATGCCCGGCTTATGTTTTTGTATTTTAGTAGAGATAGGGGTTTCACCATGTTGGTCAGACTGATCTCGAACTCCTGACCTCAAATGATCCGACCACCTTGGCCTCCCAAAGGTCTGGGATTGCAGGTATGAGCCACCACACCCGGCCCATTTTCTTCTTTAATCTACATGCGCTAAGTAGTGACAGAGTGAACTAAAGGGATGGGGAAAAGACAGCGCCCTAGGATATCAATAGCTGTGACAAGACTGGCATACCCTGACAATGTAAACCCAGCATTCATCTGAGTAGCTGGTGACCATTCCATACTTGTCATTAAATATTTGAATAGAACCCTTGGCTTTCACAACAATAGAAGTTTCTACAATCACTATTCCTTCCACCTGCAGTGACCCAGTCAGTGCCACAGAACTCAGTTTAAACTTTAATTCAAAACTACATGCAGCCTAGAAATAGGCAGGCAAGTTGATGCTACCCGGCAAAAACTGCAGCTGCATTCAGCAGGTGATACAGAAGCTTGGCAGCGGCACCTGATGGTGTGATGGAGCTGAAACAGACATTAATCTCAGCCCAATAGGGCACCCCTCTTCAGGTGCTACCCAAGAAGAACTTCGACCTTGAGTAGCATTTGAAAGTTCTCTTTGTGTCAAAATCAACTGGATGGTTGATCTTGTGTGCTTCACCACTACTGAGCAGCACATACTCAAGAAAAGTCAATCTCAGGTCGGATGCAGTGGCTCACACCTGTAATCCCAGCACTTTGGGAGGCCAAGGCAGGTGGATCATGAGGTCAGGAGTTCGAGACTAGCCTGGCCAACATGGTGTAACCCTGTCTGTACTAAAAATACAAAAATTAGCTGGGTGTGGTGGCGGGTGCCTGTAGTCCCAGCTACTTGGGAGGCTGAGGTGGAAGAATCGCTTGAACCTGGGAGGCGGAAGTTGCAGTGAGCTGAGAACATACATTGCACTCCAGCCTGGGTTACAGAGTGAGATTCCATCTAAAAAAAAAAAAAAAGAAAAAGAAAAAAAAAGAAAGAAAAAAGAAAAATCAGTCTCCCCAAATCTGAAAATTGCACTGATTTTCTAGTACACCAAGAACAGGCAGTTGCTAGGCTCCTGTGTGAGCTGTAAGAGGCGTTGGTGAAGCCTTTCCGTAGAGCGTGGAACAGGAGACAGAGTTCATGTAATGCTGGGTGGCGCAGCCCAGAGGGTAGGAAACGAGGAATCGGCTGATGATGCAGAATTAGGACTGATAGGAGAGAATGAGACAAGGTTCTGCCAGGACCAGAACAACCAGGACTGTGGTATTGCCCTTCATCGCACCTGGCTAAGGATTTCACTAGTAGGCGTGGGAAGTCCTAGAGCCACTGTAAATATTACTGTCTTGCCTGTGTTGTGTGCAGAGGCAGTTACCTCAAACAAATATATGTCATGTTTAGAAAGCAAAAAAAAATAGCTGATTTATCATTCTCAGTTATGTAAAGTAGCAAGAAGAGTTTTTTTTTTTTTTTTTTTTTTGAGATGGAATCTTGCTCTGTTGCCCAGGCTGGAGTGCAGTGGCACTACCTTGGCTCACTGCAACCTCCGCCTCCTGGGTCCAAGCAATTCTCTGCCTCAGCCTCCCAAGTAGCTGGGACTACAGGTGTGCACCACCACACCCAGCTAATTTTTGTAGTTTTAGTAGGGATGGGGTTTCACCAGGTTGGCCAGGCTGGTCTTGAACTCCTGACCTCGTGATCCACGCGTCTTGGCCTCCCAAAGTGCTGGGATTACAGGAGTGAGCCACCACGCCCGGCCTCGAGTCTTTTGATATTATTAAGAAGAGATACTAGGATTGGATGGGCTGCTAGAGAAATTTGGGTCAATTATGAGACCCAAAGAAGGGTGATCCAGGGAAAAGCACTGCACAGACGGTTCTTAAAGCAGCTCCCTAAGAGGAAGGATTTTCTTCACCTAGGACCATTCCTAGATTCCAAGATAGAGGAAGATAAGGATTGGATTATCTTGTTTCTAAAAGATTGAAAAATAAGGCAGCAAAACAACAATATTTTGAAGTGTATCAAACTGCTTTTTCCTTTTGTGCTCCCGAATGTATACGCCCTTGATTTTTCAGCCCCTTGCCCAGTTTCCCGGACTGAGCCACAGAGGGAGAAGCCTGGTATCCCACAGGGAACTCCTCTGAAAGGACACAGGGACCAGCAGGGAACCGTGACTCTGGGCTGCCTTAGGGGGTCCTTTGTGGAAAATAGGGCTGACATTAAAATGTCTAAAGAAAAAGATAACCTATTTTCGTTTTGAAAATACACAGCCTTTTCAAACACACTGACGAAACAACAACACCACCACCACCACCAACAAGCAGCTGGGCTACCTTTCTCAGTGACAGCTCCACGTTTGTGTCAGCGCTGAAGTTGTATTTGGCTATAGCTTCTCCGATTTCTCCGGGCTGGGCTGGCGGAGGTGGTCTCGCGGGCTGTGCTTTCTCGGGAGGTGTGAGTTTCTGTGAAGGAAACGGTCATCTATTCTCAAATCTGTGGTGACCTTGGAAACCACCACCATCCAAGAGAGAAAGGCAGAGGGCTTACCTCTACGTATGAGATCGGGAAGATGCCCACTCTGCCGTGGTGTTCTCCCTCATACCAATTCTGATCGATTTTCCTGAGGATGTAGACAGTATCTCCTTTCTTAAATGACAGCTCCCTGGAAGAAACACGTTGACACGGTCTTCTCGTGATGTACAGCGATAATTCTGAAGATCAGCACCCTCGCTAGATCGGCGTTTGTTTGGCAAATACACTTACAATATTAAAAAATCCAATTTGATATTGAGTTGAGTCCGATTAGATAAGAATGATCCTTGCAGGCCGGGCGCGGTGGCTCAAGCCTGTAATCCCAGC